TGTATGTTGCATATTTTAGGTCACTGCAACTAATTTGGTGTTCCAAACATTTTAAACTGAGGATAACAACTGGACTCCACTAAGAAAGAGTATGAAAAAAAAAAATCTTTTCCATCAGTGTTTCATTGGGTTGAACAAACAACTCCAAAAGGCCACTTAAAAGAAACATTCTTTCACCAAAGAAAATGCTCATTGATAGGTAATCTTTATGATAAAGTCACTGATTTAACTCCGATATTCATAATTTCATTTAAATACATATAACGCTTATTTATGTTTAATATAAATGTATTTGCTATTAGAAGAAAATCATTTAAATTCTTTCTCATACTGAATAAATTATATGTTTTTGGTATAATATATATCTTTCAGCATTGTCCATAATGAAGATGAAGAAGATAGTGCAAGAAACCATCTACATCTTGTGGGTCTACAGAAACATAAAACGATATTTAAAGGCTGGGGCTTTAACTGGACAGACCAAAAAAAGATGTAAAGACCCTGAAACCCTATAATATTATAACATTTGTGTCACCATTATATACTGGATGCCTGTTGGATGTTGTGATCTCCTTGAACTTTTTGAAAATTGTTATGATGTGATGGCTGATAAAGGTTTTCATGAAGGAAGATACTTTCAAAAAGGGAAGTGTCATTGAATATTCCAGCATTTGTAAAAAAGGCAAATTTACACTAGATGATGTGAGAGAGACTGAGCATGTAGCCAAACCAAAAAATAATAATTAATGCATGGACAAAATGTAATAGTCTGTCTTATGTATTATAATTATTGGTCTTATAATGTTTATAAATTGGTATTTTGATAAATAAAAGAATAATAAAAAAATATCACAAGAAAGTATTAAAGTTTAGTCTTTATCAAAATAATTTTCTATGGCATTTTTCATATATTGCACAATCATAATCTGCTGGTAGTACTAGAAGTACAAATTAAAATCTATAAAGTACATGTATACAGAGTTTGGCTAGGTATTAGTTTATTTTAGATACTACTGATAAACGACATTTATAATTGTGATGAAATCTGCCCAAATCACATCTAATAAAGATTTTCCACAGGTCATTAGACGCTTATCTGTAAGATTCAATTTGCAATAACGTTGGCATCAAGAATCTGTACATAAACAGAACTACTAAGATTATATAAAACAAAACACCACAGATTCTATGGAAAGCCATGGCTGTCTGATATTGTTCTTTTTCAATTTATGTAACCATTTGGATAATATATGAGTTCACTTCGACTATATATGAATTGAAAACACCTTCTTATTTAACCGGAATCCATTATATTAATCCACAGTAACAATATATGAAACCATACTGTGAGTGTATGAAACCGAGTTAGCAATATATAAGTTGATTTTCTCAATATATGATTCCAATTCTTCAATATATGTTACCAAAGTAGCCATGCATGGAACCAGATGTCCTTATATGAAACCGAATTATCAATATATAAATTCATTTTTACAATATATGAAAACATCTTATCAATATATGGAACCAAAGTAGCAATATATATGAGTTGGTTATTACAATATATGATACTAATTATTCAATATATGGAACCAAAGTAACAATGTATGGAACCAGGTTTCCTTATATGAAACCAAATTATCAATATATTAATTCATTTTTACAATATATGAAACCATTTTATCAATGTATGGAGCCGAAGTATCAATATATAAGTTGATTATCACATTATATGATACCAGATCTTCAATATATGGATCCAAGTAAGTCATGTATGGAACCAGATGCCCTTATATGAAACCGAATTATTAATATATTAAATCAATTTTACAATATATCAAACCAGTTTATCAATATATGTAACCGAAGTATCAATATATAAGTTGATTTTCACATTATATGATACCAGTTCTTCAATATATGATACCAAAGTAGCAATATATTGGTCGAAAATGTCATTATATCTGACGACCCAAACAAATAATGGTAGCGAAATTTCAGAGCCTAATGCTGTTAATTGCAGATGCCTAAAGTAGTCCATTTTTTTGAAGCGGTTACTTCCCTTTATATGTACACTAACGCCTAAAAATTCAGGGGAGATCAATGCGTAAAGATTGTTAAATGACAGGCGCATTAATTTTCAAGCAAAATAGTTCCCGAATGGTCGAAGATTTCTAATATTGCTTCATTCTTTATAGATATACATGCTAACAGTAAGCTCAATGATTATTTACATCTGTGTGAAACAACAGGTTTAGCGTCGAAATAATAAGAGTTACAAACGCTAATTTAGAATAATTATAACCTCACCGTGGCCGAGGGGTTTGCACGCTCGTTTATCAATCGAGAGGTCTGGAGTTCAAATCCCAGTTGTGACAACTCATTTTTTTTTTTAAATTTAAGTCAAATAAACATTGAATTGACTATTAGTGTTGCAATTAGTCTTATAGCCAATTTACTACAGTTAAAACACTGGGAAGCATTGGTGGCACTATACAAAAACAAATTGGTTCCTTCATCTTTCTGACATTCTGAGACCCAAACAAATTCAGCGCCTTCTGTGCTTTAATTAGAGGCTGTATTCAATCCTTGCACCGGTATTACAGTTTCGCGCCAATATTCTTTGTTTAAAGAACAGCGTGCTTCACTGACTGCATACTGCACATTTTCTGAATAAGGAAATATTTGAATTTAACGTCACATTCACTTAAAATGGGCTGGGCAGGCAAAATTTATCGTTATATATGTAGGAGTTGTATGTCATAATTTAAGTTATTGAGTCGTACTGACCATTAACAAAAACATATTTAAAAAATAAGTTCATCTCGACCTTTACCTTTGATCAAAAATAGGCATGGCCAGAAGGACACATCAAGGTTAATCTACTCACAAAGTTTAAAAAATAACCAGTCAAATAATAATTTATTTCATGAAAAAGTGTATGCATTGTAATAACAGAACCCAGTGACCTCGGCCTTCAAATTGTTGGCTTGAAAATAGGCTATTTTGGTTCCAGTTAATGAAAATTGCTATCATAGAATGTAACATCAACTTATATACTAGCTGCTACTTTGGTTCCATACTTTTATAAAACGGTTTCATATATTGTAAAAATGACTTAATATATTGATAATTCGGTTTCATATAAGGGCATCTGGTTCCATATATGGCTTCTTTGGTACCATATATTGAAGAACTGGTATCATATAAAGTGATAATCAAGTCATATATTGCTACTTTGGTTCCATACATTGATAAATTGGTTTCATATATTGTAAAAATGAATTAATAAATTGATAATTCGGTTTCATATGAGGACATCTGGTTCCATATATAGCTATTTTAGTACCATATATTGAAGAATTGGTATCATATAATGTAATAACCAACTCATATATTGCTACTTTGGTTACATACATTGATACATTGGTTTCATATATTGTAAAAATGAATTAATATATTGATAATTCGGTTTCATATCAGGACATCTGGTTCCATATATGGCTACTTTGGTACCATATATTGAAAGATTGGAATCATATAATATAATAACCAACTCATATATTGCTACTTTGGTTTCATAAATTGATACATTGGTTTCATATATTGAAAAATGAATTAATATATTGATAATTCGGTTTCATATAAGGACATCTGGTTCCATACATGGCTACTTTGGTACCATATATTGAAGAATTCGAATCATATATTGAGAAAATCAACTTATATATTGCTAACTCGGTTTCATACACTGACGGTATGGTTTCATATATTGTAACTGTGGATTAATACAATGGATTCCGGTTAAATAAGAAGGTGTTTTCAATTCATATATAGTCGAAGTGAACTCATATATTATCCAAATGGTTACAAAAATTGAAAAAGAACAATATCAGACAGCCATGGCTTTCCATAGATTTATATATAAACCTTATATTATGCTAGGAAATATGATTATGACAGCAAACTTGAAACGGAAAGTAAAAAAATCTCTCCTCTTAATCATCTCTTAAATCATAAATGGATACCTCACATATGTATAATTGAATTCTTTATGGAGTGATTTCTGTCATGGTGAACCTTTGTTTTGTTTAATATATAACTCTACAAATGAGAAATTTATGTCCAGATCAATTTAACTGTATGCACTCATATATATGTTACTTGCTTATCAGCTTGTCAGTTAAGCCTCGTTCTGGTTCATTTTCTAAAAATAGCCGTAGAATATTAAGAATGGTCTATTATCCGGGATTGTTTCATGACTTCAGGCAGTATTATCTCGGATTGTTTCATGACGGCTGTATTATCTTTGATAGTTTCTGCACGGCTGTATTATCTTTGATTGTTTCTGCACGGCTGTATTATCTCGGATTGTTTCATGACGGCAGTATTTTCTCAGATTGATATTATCATGGATAGTTTGTTGACGACATTATCTCGGATTGTTTAATGACAGCAGTAATATATCTCGGATCGTCTCTTGACGACAGTTTTATTTCGTATTTGTTCATGCCAGTAGTGTTATCTCGGATTGATTCATGATGGCAGTTTTATCTTCGTCAGTTATATCTTGGATTGTTTCATAACGTCAGTTGTATTTTGAATTGTTTTATGAAAATATCAATATCTTAGCCTATTTGATGAAAGCAATATAACCTCGAATAATACTGTGATGGATTATTTCATGACATAAATAAAACATTAATAAATATATCCATGTTTAAGATGTTTTTATTTTAACCTTTTCAGCATGACTTCGCATCTACTGTAAAGATATGCATCATATCGAATAAGTTCTTATCTAGGCAATATTAAAAGTTGTACTATTATATGTGCTTTAAGTATGATGATTGATTAAATTATCTTTAAGTTAAACTTCTGCAGAATTTCATTACTTTAAATATATGTAGATATATTTATATTGCCAATATATACATTTATTTTTATTCTTTTGAATTGCCAAGGCAGGAATTTAAAAAATGCATTTCGAATATACTTACTTTATTTCGGAAAACCTTTAACCGACATATGTCTGCTTCCTTTGATACATCGGTTGGTGCTGGTGTTGCACTCCAGTCAAATTTTTTATTTAATCCAAAACATTTCAGGTTTCTAAGAAGACAAATAATAAGCGTGATGTCCAAATCTGACGAAGTTGGGACATTACCACCCGCTGGAAATAACACGTCATATTGGACCTGGGTTATAACGCCGCGCCTTTTCAAATGTGTTATTGTTGGCTTTTCTTGATTCAAGCACGCACTGAGCGTTATGCGTTGAGATGTCAGGGACCGGTCCAGTAAATTTCTCAATACCAGGAGGCCACCATCAATGATTAGTATTTGTAACCGAAACAAAAATTCTCGGTTGTCTAGCGTCTGTGGTTGACCTCTGGTTGCCATTTTGTTTACTTCTTGATTTGTTACATCTGTGTTATAGCCGCATCTGTAAATAATGAAACGTACAAGTTATTTTAAACATTAAACAATTACTTTAAACCCTTCTTATAGATGTAGTTATGCTAAGAATTGTTATCATAATATAGACAAGTTATGTTAGTTATGTCGATATTTTAAAATGGAATTGTTGACAGATTGTGTTTCTGTCAAATTACTCAGATTGAGACTTTATTATTCTAATTCATTTAATAAAAGAAATAACTTTTTTAAAGATAAAATGATTCACATAATAATTTTATGTGATTAATTTAAATAAATATCTAATAAAAGATTCAAAACTAAATTGAATATCATGTATTGTAGTCTGGGATAACAATAACATCCGTTTTGTTGAAGTTTGGTCAAACTATAATCGATAGTGATATAAATAATGATAAAACATAAACACTTCCACATTATCTTTTGTTCTAAAGATAACAATTTAATAATCCTGTAACTCAACTTTTAATGTTTTTTTTATCATAAATATGACGCTCAAATGAAGATGTATGAATATTGTAAGTTCCAAAAAAGCATTTTTTGGAAAGATATTACGGAATTTACATCCCATGTAAATAAAGGGATGTAATTAGAAATTATATTCCATAAAGTCTAAGGCAATCTTTTTCGATAAAAAATGAAGGCATACATTTTATGAATACTTATAATGCGTATAAACATTTGCAGTACATATTTAACATTTTCTTGGATGTTTGGAAATTGTTTTAGATGATTAATTATAAACATATATAAATTTCACTTCAGAGTTGTGACATCCTTAATTACAATATACATGATCTTTAAATATCTACATATGTATTCAATTACAAAAACCAAGAACAGCGCTTATGCTGTCTTCAATTAAATTAGTTAAACAGGAAAACTCTCATCCAATTTGATAAGATGTATAGTCATAAATCTGATTTTAATGGTCTCACATAGAAACTAAAATTAAGGTCAAAGCATACGATTAAATTAATTATTCTTATTTTATGTTAAGCACGTGCCACTTAATGAAAACTAAATGAAATAAACAATTTTCATTTAAGCAAATACTTAAAAAAATCTAAAAGAAAGGTAGAGCAAAATCTCCAAATAAAATGAACAATCGTCATTAGTTTGTATCTACGATAATTTCTAAAGTAGCAGAGTATCAAATAAGACGTACAAAATGACGACCAATACTTTGTAGCGTTAAATTAGGGGCCAAGACTCAGTGACATATATTTTGCAGCCAAGACTTTATTACATTTTAGCAACCAATACTTAATAGTGTATATGATTAAAAAAACTTGAAAAAGAGAAATAGGTCTTCAGGTAGAACAATCTTGGTCAACTAATATCTAATCAGATTTCGTCAATTATGGAGGAGGATAATTAGACGATGATACATAACGAATACTTGACATTTAAGCATTGCATTTCAAAAAAGGTATTTCAAAAAAGACTACGCAAGGTCAATCATGATTTGAATGAACTTGGTAGTGATCGAATTTGCAGTAATATACATAATATCTATGCTCTAGCCTTTGTTTCAATTGAGAAAACAGTTGTTTTAAGTTTTGTTTTCATACAATTAACTAACCCAAGGCCAAGGCTAGTTTTGATCCAAGAAACATGATTGGACCAAATTTTGTTTAAGTAATCAAGAACCAGAAACAGTGCACCACAAAAGCAACACAAATGTTTGATTAGTATCATTTTTGTGGAAGTCCACAGGGCATACTACAAGAAAAATGTCCAAATCATTTCCATAAATTTAATGTTGCACTAGGAATGTGTGTAGGTTAAAGTTGTTTTTAACTAAGCTTATCATAGCCTCTAACTACCAAAAGGGAAATACTGAAATCCCTTCATACATAAGTGGCTTGTCTCTGATTAGGCGAAACGAATTAAAGTGCCTACAAATCAAATTTTCGATTGACAACTTATTATGCCAATCTTTAATATGTTTACACGCTCATTAATCTGTCACTACATTATTTATCTATAACATTCATTACAAGATTACTTAGAAATATGATACAATTAAACTAATTTAAAGGGCGCAGACAGATTTAAGTTAATGAGTTGGCTTTTCTTGACGAAATACTGCGAATGACTTAACATTACATGTGAATTCGCAGCGATTTCTTCCTTGACTGATTCATTATTGGAAACATGCACACATGGCGTTTATATGTGTATTCTCCCTTGGTTTTGCGACATTTGACTAGTTGCAATTGTGAGCTAACACTGTTTAGTCGCTTAAATGATTTAGTATGTAAAGCAGCTGCAAAAGAAGAAGGACATAAATGACCTACTTTACTGATTCATAGTATCAATGCCAGCTTCCACGTGTATTTGAATTGTTTTAGAATTCTTAATAATATTACAGTCATATACACGTGAAAAAATAATTTGTCAACCAGAATGAACTATTCAACATCATTTTAAACATATAAGGGTACTCAATAACAATAACTGTTAATTACTACTCTTTAAAAATCTTTACAAGAGATAAGATTATATCTATGGTGTATTTCTAGCAAATAAAAGCAGAAAAAAGCACGGGAGGATTTCTTGATTTTTTAAAGTGCACACAGCTGAATTTTTTTCATCAAGGAGCGATGATGACTCTATAAATGAATAAATGAGAAGAATATCAATAAGGAAAGGTGACATAAACAGAACGCAGTCTTGACACAACCTAACCACACTTGAATGGCACCCAGATACCGAGCCAAAACATGGGATATGACAAAGGCACCAAAAGGAAAGGGAGAAAACTGTGACAGTTATCAATCAAGGGACTAACTTGGAAAGGATTTGGTAAGCATTAAATGGTTAATGAATTAAACTTGATATTTAATGCTGCTAAAACTGATGAAAACAATTTACAACATATGACATCATTGTTTATAAAGATATTACCGAATTTAACGCATCATGTAAATAAAAGGAGGTAATAAAAATTATTTTCTATAAAAATTAAGTCAAATCTTACAATAAGAAATGAATGGATATATTTTAATGATTACATATAATATACACAAATATTTGCAGTACATATTTTACATATTTTTCGATGTTTGAAAATTGTTTCATTTGCACAATTATGTACATATATAATTTCACTAAGTGTGGTTTACCACATTGATCACAACATACAGGACTTTAAATGTGACCACTAAAGGAACATTCCTGTGAAGTAAGGATGAATTTTGCTCAGCGGTTTATGATGAAATGTTGTTAAAAAAAGTGACCACTTTTTCGGCGCCGTCCCCCATCCAAATATTACATCAGGGGGTTGCCAGAAGGGGGATGTGCCCCTTCTGTTTGGGGGTTAGAAGGGGGGCGTAGTCCCCCTCATCGCCAAGAAAATTTTGGACATGTGACAGGCTAAAAATGGCCTCAGGTCGATCTTAGGGTAACTAGTAACCGACGCTGAAAAGCCTTTTACTCTATCTCAATTCATTGAGAAGTTGCAGCACTTTGAAATCAGTTTTGATGGAAAAAACAATGCAAAATAGTGATTTTTGGCAATTTTGAGACGTCCCCCCGTTGCCATGGTAACAGGAAATTTACCATTGAGCATGCTGTTACAGAGGGTATGGTGTAGTCAACATTTGTGCCACGTTTCATTAGTATTGAAGCATTTTTCATAGTTTCATAGCAGTTTGAACTTGTTACAGGAGGCTTTTCAATGAAAACGGCAACTTTTCGCAATGTGCTCATAGGGTAAAAGGTTAATAAAAAAATAAAAAATATCAAAAAACAACAATTTTTCACCAAATTTCGGTGTTAGGGCATGTGTTAACATGGAAAATCTAGTTTTTGTGTAATTCCAAGGTTTTTCATCATTTTTTGTTAAAGTAAAAGTTTACGGAAGACAACAGGCGGACACCGGACGGATGCCGGACATTAAAGTGATCACTAAAGCTCACCATGCCACTTTGTGACAAGTGGACTAAAAGAACAATGTAACCTGTTTTTCTTTCATATCTATGAATTTAGTTTTTTTAGGTGGACGTTTACTTGATATATTGCAACAAACTGTCAACAATTCCCAGCATCAAATTATTATTTGTTGGCATGCTGAGTGTCTAGTGCGAAGGTTAGACTGACCTTCCTATCCGTTCTGTGCATTCTTACTATTGTGTTCGAGGTCCTGATCCGAAGACTGATGGAAAGGGCAAAAAAGAAGGTTCGACTGCTGTAATGGATTGTTTTGGACTCCGAATAAATACAAATTAGCAAATGTTAAATATAGTATAATATATGTAACATTATGGTTTCGCAAAAATCAGGCATATTTCTGACATAAGACAAATGTCGAAGTAAAGGAGAAAATCATGCAAATCAAGCACGTGTTACATATATTCATAAATAATCGAGGAAAAAAAACAATTTCTGGATATATTTGCAATCAAACCTTTATGCTTTAACAGCCGTATGTGCTAAGTAATTTTCTTTTGATTTTTTTATTGTAAGGTATATATTTCTGTTTTTCTTTTTGTTAAAAAAATGCACGATTCGGCCTAACTTTGACAGCTCATGCGTTGTTTTCACATTCATGCGTTAGATGATGTGCACGGTGACATTTAGAGAAAAACATTTGGATGGCAAAATGTGTTTGTTTGTTTTTGTTGTTGTTGTTGTTTTGCTGTTTTGTTCTTATAAGGAGGTAGTGACAGGGGAAACAAACACGTTTCAATTTAAGGCCTAACGTAAAGCTCTTAAATACTTAAAAATCGGATATAACATTAATTATAAAATCATGCAAACGCACAATGGTTTGTAGCGTGATATACATGTATTTACATCCGTGTACACTGTAATGCAAACGTAAGTTGTAAGGTCACATTACGTGTACCATTCTTAACCCAATTCTTGACTGATTTATAAACTATTTGTAAGCATTGTACATCGACAAATGAATATAGGTCTCTATTATATGATTACCCAAATATAAATTTCTGGGACATGGTTTATACATCTTGAGTGCAGGGCCACAAGTCGGTGCAA